TGAAGTCCTGAGCTGGAAGCCCACAAACACCAATATTTTATCACATGGAAAAAATATCCACTTCTGTCATGACAAAATAATCCAAGGGTCACCATATTTTTGAAGATTAGAAATGCAGAGTGCCATTGTATTCCCTGCAATTCCCCACCCAGAGCTTTCCCCTGAGGGAATGCAATCAGTGTCTATAATCAACCACTTTGGGGCTTATTCCCTCACCAAGGAAGGGGAATAAAACCAGAATTCCCAGCTCTCCATTGGGTTCACAGATACCTGAGTGGAGTATTCTACAAACACCGCTCCAAATGACACAAAAAAGAAAATTYAAGATCAAACCAGGAAAAATATGAKTGACTGGTATCAATCCCTGATTTTAATAATGATTTAGATCAGCAGGAAACCTGGATTTAATTTTACCTTGTTCTGTATCCAGGAGCTACTCAAAAACTCTGACTGTTCAAACACCTCAATTTGCAAACACATCAGTGACTCTGAACTTTATGACTGCTTCCTACTACACCTTAGTCCAATAAAAATACTAACAACGTAAAAAGGTTACTAAGCATAGCTATCAGAGCATGTATTTCTTCTGCATTCTATCCTGAAGCTCTTTCAAAATAGAAATCAGAAAGTAATTTCCAAAATATGAAACCAGAATTCAGCTACAAAGTTTAAATTTTTTCAGCTAAAAGAAGCAGAACATTGAGGAAAAGGGCATTTTTTCCAGACAATAGGAATTCAAAGATGACTTCTTAAAGCACACAATGTTAATAAAATGATTTTTTGGTGGAAACAACTGAACTTTCAGAAACTCAAGAAACATTAAAGCGCACTCAAATAAATTAGATTGAAGCATTTAATTGTCCACTGACACCTCAAGAGAACTGGTCCTGCTCCAAGACAGCTCCTGCTTCTTCCCATACTTTCCCAACACCTTAAAATGCCAATTCAGATTTTTAACTCCCTTAGAAATTCACCCTGTGGAGGCAAAAATTTAAGTTCCTATTCCAGCAGGTCAGAAAACTGAGTAACCTCAGGGACGGGTGAGAAACACAAGGAGCTGCTCAGTTGCCTGTTGGAGATCTGGGAGAAACAGGAGTGATGTTCCAGCACCATCATGGGGAAGGGAATCATGGAATCCTTTAGGCTGGAAAACATCTCCAAGACCACCAAATCCAACCATTCCCAGCACTACCAAGGGGCATCCACACAAAAGAAGCAGGAGAAGCAGGATCTCCCCTTTCAGGAACTGTTAGCGCACTCCAACCCATAAATTAAACCAGTTTGCAATTAATTCCAAGCTATGCCAACCACAAATCAGGGATATTTTGTCCCCAAATCTCCCACCTCACCTCTGACCACACATGAGCACCCTCCTTCCCACACAGCAGCTCTGGTACTCCTCCTAATTCACTGAAGACAACAAAATACCCCAAATCTTCATCTTTTTCCCTTTAGCTTTCCATGCTCAGTAACCTGGCAAGCGCCTGTAGCAACCTGACTGGTTCATCCCTTCATGGAACAAAAGGAACAGCAGGAATTCAGCACTTCTGGAAATTACAGCAGGCACTGAGCCGCCTCTGTTCGACACAAAAGTCTGACCCCAGCTCTTCCAGTTTTGGGATCAGAAGATCTCATTCTCTCACTTACATTTCACTCCAACATTATAAAGGCTGAATAAACAAAAACCATTCTCTTTCAGCTGCTAATCAAGCTTTTCAGCCCCAATCTTTTCTTCTCAGGAGGCATTAAAATACTTATTTTGGAGAAAATCTGTGTGTATCAGCATTCCCTCCACCTAAACCACCCCGTAAGCAGCTTAATGSAGGATATTGTAACAGTCACAAAGCTTCAGTTGATCTTAAGTTAGAGATATTTTCTTTCCAGTTGATGCCTGGAACAAACTTCGGACATGCTGGAATATGAGGAATCACATAAAAATAAAAAGAACCCTAACACAGGTTATTAATCCCAAATTTAATATGTATTCAAAATCCTTTTTTTYTCTCTTTGTCTGCCCTGTATTCAAATCACTTCTGCAAAAGTGAAGCAGTACTTCTGGTGAATTTAGTTTCACTTTCTGGCCTCCCTCCCTGACTACCCAGGCTCAACTCTGCTTTCTGAAGAGTCTTCCTGTCCAACTCAGCAACTTTCAGAGTTATATTGTGCTTTGAGGTTTGTGTCTGTAGCTGATTCTCTACAACACAACATTTYRGGATCGTTCCTGAGTGAAGGAGGAGCTCCTGTGCCTTCCTTCAGAACAGTCAGCTCAGGATTTTCCACTGAGAGGGAAGAATGGGAGGAGAGCAAGAGGTACAACATCAGTCTTGCATCTTGTAGCCTTCCCATCCATATTTCAGCTCCTCCAGGCAGGTGGTTGACACCAGAACTCTGAGGAAATGCTGCACTAAGGAGAATTCCCACCTTGTTCCCTATAAATTCCCTAAATTCACAGAATGCTGGAATGATTTGGGTTGGAAAGAACCTTAAAGACCATCCAGTTCCAACCYACAAATTCAGCTGGGAACTGTTGCTCTTGGTTAAATCCCTCAAAGTATCACTTCTTAAAAAACTGTTATCGTTTCTCCTTGCAGATGCAACAGCTGCCTGCACAACTCAAAGGCTGGGAATGAATTCCAATTGCTGCTGCTCCTGAACTCATCCAAATGCTCCTCTACCCCTTCACCTCAAACAGAGACACCAAAACAAAGAATTCACCCTCAAAAAGCAAAGATGAAAACTCTGGTCCTTTCTGAGTGCAATATCAAGACTGATAGCTAACAAAGGCCTCACCCACTGGAACAACATCCATGAAGGGAAAACCAAACAYGGGGAAAACCATCCCAGTGGGATTTCACAGCCCTGGGCAGCACAACCCCCCAGCCCTCGGTGCTGTCACCGCTGTGACGTCGATGTGAGGACGTGACACGGAGTAGGAAGTTACTCACAGCTCAGCCCCACAGGACACAGCACCAGGAGCCCACAGAATAATGGGATTTATCACAGGATATTGGGGTTAATCAACAAAAAGTGAACAAAATCGACAAAACCGCAAGCCAAAGATCCCAAATACTCCAATGCCCAGAGCACAGGCCCAAAACATTCTCCAGTTTTACAGATGGCAGAGTTTAATATCCACATTTTTTGGAATCAGGGATCAGACCCGTGATTCCCTCTCAAGATACAAAACCACACAAGCAGATTCTTATAAGTTCTAAGATTAGCTCAGGACATGTTGTCCCAACAACAGGAAGGCTGCTCCATTAAAGTTTCGGTTTGGGAGGAAAAGATAAAATAATTTAAGGAAAAATCCCTGTATATTCAGGGATTTCAAGGGAAGAAGCCTCCTCTGTAAAATATTCCAATCCTGACACTTCCAAATTGCTCTGGAAGCAACACCTGTCCCACAGATTTTACTTTTCCAACACATACTTTTCAAATTTGCATTTCCAATCCATTTGTGAACACTGCTAGAGCAGCAAATGGCCCCGAGGTTGGGATCTGGGGATAATTCGAGGAAAACTTCATGGAACAGCCATTCATCACTCCTCATTCCCCTCCTAAAAGGGAAAGAGCTGATCCTATTGGGATGGGCAAATCCATGCCCCAACAACCCAACACTGCAATAAAGAGGCTTTTTAACAATTTCCCCATTATTTCCCCATCATTATAATATTATTCCCCCATTATATTCCACAACACAATTCCCATTATTCCCAAATAACCCCCCACTCCCCGCAAATTCAGGGAATCCTTCCCTTTTCCACGAGAGAACTCTCCCTCCCAGGACACCGCAGTACCTTCTAAGCAGCTCCCCTTTGTCTTAACGACTACAAAAAGATATTTAAAGGAAATAAAGAGATATTTTAGCATATGTGGTCCTACAAAAACCGGGAGGCGCCGCGCTCGGTCCCGCCCGCTCCCCTTTAGGGGCCTTCAGGGGCCTCAGGGCTCCCGTTCTGGGCAGTCCCGGGGGCTGAAGGCCCCTGAGGGGAGCGGGCGGGACCGCCGGTGCTCGGGGGCCTCCGGTCCCCACAACAAACTTGCGGCCCCGCGCAACAAGTTCCCGGGCAGKCCCCCGCCGGTCTCACCTCAGCCATGATCGCTGGTATTCCAGGGAAGGGCTCACATCGCCGGGAAAAGCCGCCGGGTCCCGGTGGGAGCGGCGGGGACGGGACCGGGAGCGGCGGCGGCGGCGGGAGGGGCGTGGCCACGTTACGCACGACGTCACCGCGCACCGCGGGAAGCGGGCAGGGCGCGCGCGGCTCCTGTCAGTCAGGGARGCCGTGCCCACAGCGCCTGTCAGTCAACGGGAGGCCACACCCCCTCCCTGTCACACAGCGCTGGGCGAGSCTGCCAGTCACGGCGGAGGCCCCGCCCTTTACATGTCAATCAGCGCCCAGGCCACGCCCCATCGCCGGTCATTTAGGGTTTTGGCCATGCCCTCGCCTGTCACTCAATGCACAGGCAGGGTCCCCTTGTAATCCAGAGCGCAGCCCCCAGCTGTCACTCAAGCTATAAGCCMCGCCCACTTACATGTCAATCAAAGTATAAACCACGCCCCCACCGCCTATCACTCATTACACAGGCCACGCATTGCCTGTCACTCAGGGCGCAGGACACGCCCCTCAGCCTGTCACTCAAGGCGCTAGACCACGCCCCCACCCCGCTAAGGCGCGGCCGCCGCCGCTCCTCATGCCCTTATATGTCACTCGGCACAGGCCACGCCCCTCACGTGCCACCCGCGGCACGGCCGCGCCCACTCACGTGGCACTCCCGCACAAGCCACGCCCCTTTAGCTGTCACTCAATGCCCAGCCCMCGCCCCGCCCCGTTCCCTCATCCCGCTCAGGCTCCCGCTCACCGTGGCCCCTCACGGTCCCCTCACGGTCCCCTCCGGCCCCGCCCGCCGCCAGCACCGGCTCCACATCATCGCCCAGCGCCGGTCTCGCTCGCGGTGCCGGTGCCGCTCCCTCCCTCCCTCCCTCCCGCCGCCGTACTCACGCGGGGAGCCGCAGAGGCGCGGGGGGTGTCTCATCGGCCGTGAGGCGAACAGGGGCTCCTCGGGAAACGGGGGCTTCTGCTGGGCGTGAGGCTCTTGGGTGGCACAATGAGAACTCTAGGTTAAACATAAAACCCGAAAAATCACCCCAAATAAGCAGAAAAAAAGGCCCAAACCCAGCGGTMATTCACCGTGTCCTCCCTGCAGCCCCGCTGCCTCACCTGCCCGGCTCAGCGCTGTCCCCGGGCCGGCGCGGGGCAGCGCCCGGCGCGCACGTCGGGCATCGCGGCTGCTGTCACAGCGAGCGAGGACACCGCGTCCCTGTGTTGTGTTAAACGCCTCGGCCGTGCCCCTGCAGAGCCGCGCGGCTCACGCACGCCCGGYGCCTCCGCCGAGGAGCCGCATCCCCAACCCTCACACGCTTCCCCGCGGGCGGTGCCGAAAGAACCGGCCGGGCGCGACTTTGCTGACTCAGGGGTGAAAGCCCGAGCGAGGCGCTGCAGCCCCGCGGGAACGGCGAGCCGCCGGCGGGGCGGTGTCGCGGCGGGCGCGGGCAGCGCTGGTTCGGTGACACGGGGCGGGGGCGGGACCCGAACCGGAGCCCGGGGACGGCCCGGGGCTGCGGCCGCCAGCACAGCGCGGCCCGCGCGCCGCGCAGCGACCAATCGGCGGCGYCGTTGCTGGCGGCCAATCCCCGCGCCGCGTGTTGGGCGGCGTTGTCATGGTRACGGCGCGACGCCATGATGGGCCCCGCCGGGATGCGGCCTCTGCAGTGAGTGAGGGCCTAAACCTGCAAAGTTCTTRAAATTACATTAGCTTCAAAGCCTTTAAAATCCTCGAGAATTGATGATAAATTATAACAGAGAAGCAATTAGAATAGATGGTTAATTGTAATTAATGAACGGAAAAATTCCTTTGTTATAAATTGATTGTATCCCTTAAAGTAATTGGTAATTGGTAATACATTATATTCTATTATAAATAATTATATACAATAAATTATAATATATGGCCAAAATCCGTTATTATAAATTGTTTACATCCCCTTAAATAATGGCAACATATAATAAATTATAAGAAATGGTAAGAATCCTTTATCATAAAAGATTTACAACCCCTAAAATAATGGGTAACATATCATGAATTGTAATATATAATGAAGAATATATAATAAATTATAATAAATGGCCAAAATCCTTTATTATAAATCTTGTACGTCCCTTAAAATAATTGGTAATATAATAAATTGTAATTACATTCTATGTTCAATCATAATATAGAAATAGTTATAATAAATAAAGTATAAAAAGCCTTTCTTATAAATGGTAAAAATCCTTTACTAATTATATTATTATATTTATTATGAAGTGGTTTACATCCTTTAAAATAATTATCAATATAGAATTAATTATAATTATAAGAAGCTGTAGGAATCCTTTATCACAAATGGTTTAACTCCTTTAAAATAATCAGTAATATATAATAAATGAGAATATGTAGGAAATTGTGAAAWTTTTTTATTATAAATAGTTTACATCCTTTACATAATATATATAATATATTACAATACAAATATAATATAATAAATTCTCCTTCTAAGATAACCTTGAGAGAGAAAATAAGAAGTATTATTATGTATTACATTAAATAATGCACATTAAAATTGGGAGTATATAATAAATGATAATAAATTGGGATTTATAATAAATGGGAAAATATCTAACATAATTTGATATTTTATCAATATAAATATAGTATAAATATTACAATATTTATGAACATTAAGCCATCTCACAGAGCACCCACCCTGCAGTTTCCACATTTTATTGGGTTAAAAATGACATAATGACCATTGAAACCCTTTAAATTTAATGACCCTTTATCTTTAATAATTACTTTTAATGCAATCCTTTAGCAATGCTTTTTATTTAAGTCATTTAAAGACCTTTCAAGCTGTGCTGGAGCCAAGGCCAGGCGCTGGGGGAATTTTCCCGGGGTGTTTTTTCCTGGTTTGGGAGTTTTTTGGGGGTGATTGCAGGGCCAGGGGAGGAGTTCCCCCACACCGAATGAGCATCAGCACCACCAAGGCCCCGAGCTCCCGCAGAACTTCCACGGCTTCCCGGAGAACTTCCACCAGCTCCGAGGGCAAATCCACACGCAGGGGGACCCTGCTGGGAGTCCCAGGTCCTGTGCAGGTGAGAGACCCTCAGAAAGGTGGGAAGAGTCCAAAATCCACACCYATGAAACCCTAAAATGGTTGGGTTGGACCCAAAGCTGATCCCGTTCCCATGGGTGGGGCTCCAAGCTGGTCTGGGACACTTCCAGGGATCCAAAGGCAGCCATGGAGTCCCAAAAATGAACACTTTTAATCTGACATTTGTTCCTGCAGCACCTCCACGGTGTCCCAAATATGAACACTTTTAATCTGACATTGGTTCTTGCAGCACCTCCACTGCACCCCAATAATTAACATTTCTAATCTGACATTTATTCCTGCAGCATCTCCATGGCTTCCCAATTATGAACACTTTTAATCTGACATTTGTTCCTGCAGAACCTCCACTGCACCCCAATAATGAACATTTCTAATCTGACATTGGTTCCTGCAGCATCTCCACAGTGTCCCAAAAATTAACACTTTTAATCTGATATTTGTTCCTGCAGCACCTCCACTGCACCCCAAAAATTAACATTTCTAATCTGACATTTGTTCCTGCAGCACCTCCACTGCACCCCAATAATTAACATTTCTGATCTGATATTTGTTCCTGCAGCACCTCCACTGCACCCCAAAAATTAACATTTCTAATCTGACATTTGTTCCTGCAGCACCTCCACTGCACCCCAATAATTAACATTTCTGATCTGATATTTGTTCCTGCAGCATCTCCATGGCTTCCCAATTATGAACACTTTTAATCTGACATTTGTTCCTGCAGCACCTCCACTGCACCCCAATAATTAACATTTCTAATCTGACATTTGTTCCTCCACGTCCTCACCTAAAACCCAGAATATTCCTAGAAAAAGTCACCTTGGAGTTGTTTATTTAAGTGCTTTAYTCACCTTCCTGCACAAAAATATTTTAAATGCTGCTGTTAGAAAGATGTGCTGTTGTTTCTGTCGTTTATTTGGCTGTGCTGTTAATTGGACTGGATTAATCAGAATCAAWAACTCACCCTTGGTGCTCATTATGGGATAAATGAGCTGGAAAAGCCACAGGGAGAAGCAGGGACTGACAATGATGGAAATGTGGATTTTCCCATARAATCCCAGCYCAGTGGAGCTGATCCCTGAAGAAAAGCAGGAATGCAAACCCTTCCAAGTGCCCTCCCTGTTCTTTGGGGTGGCAGCTCAGTGAAATACTCCTGATTGTTTAAATATTTCTTCAGGTTTTTGATGCTGAAGGGAAGAATGTGACACCCCTGCCCCTCTTCCAGCCAGACCCAAATGCTGATGTGCCCAGGCAAGAAAAGCTTTATTTTAAAATACTTTATCCGTTTTAATGATATTTATGAAGTGCAGGCCACCTTTTATGAAAAATGTACAATGTCAATTAAAACACTAAATCAAAAGATTTAAAATATATTTTCAACTGTCAAAATATTGTCAACATAATAAGAATTTTCTGTTTTAATCTTATTTAAGCAAGTTACCTCTCTGTGATGAKGTAAATCCATCTGCAAAAATTCTCTTAAACAAAAAATTTGGAGTTAAAACTCCTAAATTATGTTTCACTACATAGATCATTTACAAACCTTCAGCACAGAGGGAAAAAACAAAGTCAATGGACTTTTTGGACTGACAAATTCAATTAAGTCATGCAGAGAAGGTAAATAATTATTGGTGTTTTAAAATTTAAAATCCTGAGCCACAGCATTATCAAAAGTAAGAAATAATTGTGATTATTTACAAATTGTAATTACAATTGTAAATATKGATTTCTGAGATGAAGAGATTGCTTTTTTTGCCATATGTCCCAGGCTGGCTGTTCCAGAGGATAATCCCAGGGGTTGGGATATCAACCTGGAGCAAATATACATTAAAAATTGATTAAAATTACAAAGTACACCTGAAAATAAATAATTTTTTATTCRTTTTTGAGACAATATCTGCTTGTTTCTTGTCACTGAAGGACATATAGGAGCAGCAGCTGGATATCAAACTTATCAACAATCAAGTTTGGCTTAGATGAACCTCAACAAGACCCAGCTTTGAGCCTGTCTGGTAAGAACACATCCAATAATTATAAATTTAAACTATTCTGGGATTTGTGTGCCCTGAGCCAACCCAGGGCCTTACAGCACTTACAGAATTTATTTATCTTGTGCTACTTCAGAGCAGAAAAGGKTTTTTTTTATGTTTTTCAGCTGCACAGGAGGAGGAGGAGGARGCCCTGACAGAAGCAGAGCTGGAGCAGAGGGTGGATATTCTGCTGTCTGAGACAGACACGCTCCGGATGTTGGATCAGCCCCCTGCTCTGATGTCCACGGAGGCAGAGGAGGCTGAGAAAGTTCAGTGAGTCCAATCTTGAACAGGAGAGACTCCATTTCTTACAGCTCCATGTTCTTGATGAAATTCCTACTGAATTCACTGAAAAAATGAAGGCAGATTAGGAAAACCCAGGGATGGAGGAGGGTGATACAGAGGAACAAAAAGATTTTATTTTCATGAGGGCAGTAAGATTTTTCAAACTGCTGCATTCATTTTTATGTGTAACTTTGCAGCTAATTATTTATTAATTAAAAAAGTGAAACACAACAGGCAGCTCCCCTTGGTCTTCCCTGAACTACTGCAAGTTTTGGTGGAAATGCTGAAATAGAAAAGGAGAAGTTTCATTTTTGTCTCTTGCTGCTCTGCCTTCCACTCCAAAGAGATGAGAGCTCTGAACTCTGAATTCCCCCAAAGCTCACAGGCAGCTGGASTGGGGAATTTTGCTTTTTTTGGGTTCTGTTCTCCACAGGCCATTCCCATTTTAGAACAGCAGCACAAAGATCAGAAAGAGCCGCTGAAAGGACACGAAGACTGAAATAACATCCAGCAAACCAAARAGCAGTAAATTTAACACATGGAATATCCTTTACTATCAACTCCTGGTTAAAGGCACTGCCAATTCCAGGCAGGATTTTTCCAGGGAGCCCCCACCCAATGTTTCCTTTGTTTTCCAGGGAGAGGAATAGGATTTATGTACAGATTTGCCACGCTAAAGTTGATAGTGAAGACTTTGAAGAAAGAATGGTGCAAACCCTTGGTGGAGCTGCCAAAACCAAGGAAGTGCAATGTGACACAATCAACACAGCAGAGAAAGGTAAACCTGGGCAGGATACTGAGAAAAGGGTTTTTTTTCTTCCATCTCTAAGTTTGGGAGAATTTAGAGATGTTGCCAGTGCTGTACCTAAGCAAGAAAAGCTTTATTTGAAAATATTTTATCTGTCATACTGACATTTATAAAATACAACCTTTTATGCACAATTGTCAACTATATCAATAAAGTATTAAATTATTAAATCAAAAATATCAATTCAACTATCAAAATGTTGTCAAGATAATAAGAATTCTGTTTTAATCTTACTTAAACAAGTTACTTCCATGTGATGACATGAATATATCTTCAAAACTGCATGTTTCCAAAAATGGAGATGTTTCCTTGACTTTCTCCTCCAGAGCTTTAAGTTCAGCCAGGACAGGGTTTGTGGTGGCCTTTTCTACCCCTCCTAAATTTTGATTTTGTTGGTGGAAAACTGAATCCATTGCAATTAAATAGTTATTAATASTCCCAGAGAGCTGCTGTGCCCTGCCCTGAGCACTGTCCAGCCAATCCTCAGCTCTTCCCTCAAAATATTTTGGTTTTTCCCCTTTTCCCCCCTTAACCTTTTCAGGTTTTCTATTCCTGTTTGCCACAATGCCAAGAAGAGAACCTCTGGTAGGAGATTTAAAACCTTGGGGAACACACAAAATCTTGGCAGGTTCACAAGATCAGTGCAATTTTACAGGATGTACAACCTTAATGCCCTAAAAAAAACAATTTTGCAGAGGAATCTCTAACAGGGGCACARGGTGAGCTTTGCCTCACTGGGGGCATTTTTGTGTGTAAGAGGCAAAAAAAAATGACAGGAATGGTGTTCCAAACACTTTTCCTTTGTGTCTGTGTRTGTAAAATGAGGGAATAAACCCCAAAAGTAGATAATAAAAGATATTTGCTTTTTGAAAGATATTTGCTYGCTAAGATATTTGAAAAGAAAAGATATTTGCTTTWTTTTTCTGYRTGCTTTGAGCATCAGCAGGGCTCATTCAAGCACACCAAGGAAAGGCCCTGCTCGAGGGGAGCCATGCCCCAAAAAACTCCTGATGGAGCTGCAGTAGTTGCACAACAGGAAAAGCTTTAAAGTTATTTTATCTGTTTTAATTATACTTACTAAGTACAAGCAACCTTTTCGATAAGTTTGCAAATGATAGCAATTAAAATATGAAATTMAAATATGAAATCACAAATATCAGTTCAAAAACCAACTGTGGATATGTCTCTGTGTACATTTTTGGAACCAGAGCTGGTTCCAAAGCCCTCCTGGACAGCATTTGGGATGTAGAACACACAGCAAAGCTTTGCTGGGCTGCAGGAAGCTCCTTGCAATAAAGTGACCTGTGTGAAAATCCTTTCCTAGGGACAGTGGTGACTTCTTGGGATCTGGACAATTCTCTGGATGCCTCAGAAGCAGAACCTACAGAAACAGAAGAACCTGAAACCACAGCAGAGGAAAGCAGCAAATCTCCCCCWGCTGAAGAGCACRGTCAGCCTGTGGCTGTCCCTTCTCRCAGAGGTAACATTTTAYATTTCTGCCCTGTTTTCCTCCTCCTAAACCAGGCACATCTCTGTGATTTGGGGGAAAACTTCCTGAAAAACATGTTTGGGCCTGCTGGCAATCTGCAAGAGAGTTTGCTRAAAAAACTTGGACAGGGTTGCACTTCTCTGTGCACTGCCATCAGAAATAAATAAATAAAGATAAATAATCAGAGATGAGGTTTGCTGGTACTCATTTAAGGAAGCAAAAGCAAAACACCATTTGGGGAAAATTCCAGAAGTATCTGAGCAATGAAAGAAAAAATTAAAGCATGAAAAAATGGCTTTTTGCAGGTGGAGGAGAGTTCTCATCCCTTGATGATTCTGTGTGAAGTTTTATCACGTTCAAAGYATTTCTATCCCATAAGAGTTGGACTCCATGATMCCYRTGGATCCATTCCARCTCKGAATATCCTGGGATTCTGTGATTCAGCTTCTTCCATAATCATTGCAGACAGTGCTGTTCCTGCCAGGAGCCAGGAGGAGAAGGAATGCAATCCAGAAGAGATCTTAGCATCAGAGAGCCTRCAGCACGATTTAGTTGTCATGGAGAGGATTCTCATGGAGAATATTTTCCAACCCAAACTTGCAGTTTATCGGCAGATTCCTGTCCTTATAGGTTTGTACCTTTCTCAGTCACCTCTTTTCCAGCCAGAAATTCCTCACTTTCCACAGAAACTCCTCATTTTCTGCTGGGTAGCTGAACCCACTCATGTAACACTCACCCCTATCCTGCTGTCTGCTCCGTCCCTGGCTCATTTTAGTCACAGTTTTAAAAGTTAGAATGTCTTAATTCCCCAAATCTTCACTTATTTCTTTTTTTCCCTGCAAAATATTTGCTGAAAGAGCAATTTTTTCTTCTTCTGTGAACAATTGGGGTGAGATTAGTGAAATGTTTCTACTCAGATTCTACCACCTCTGTGCATTTCAGAGCCTGAAACTCCCTCAGAGACTGACTCAGAAGAAGATTCAGATGAAGAGGAAGAGGTGAAGAAGGAGGAGGAGAAAAAGGAGGAAACACTCGTTAGACGATCGGTTTTGTTAGATCTGACTGTAACTCCAGAACAAGTTTTAGTTCCCAGCCTGGAGCTGCTGTGGTCATACAGCTGTGATTTAACCCGTGGTCACAGTGTGAGCAGTATGGCATGGAACAAAGTGAATCCTGTGAGTGAACAGATCGTTCTGGAGCTGGGCACAAACTGGGACAAGMTTTGGTGCTGGGAATTAACTCCTGACTCAGGTGGGATCTCAGAGATGGAGCCAACCCCTCAYTCCTGCTGCCTTCATCTACAGGCTGATCCCTGCACAGCTTTAATTCAATTAATTGCCCCAGTTTACCCTGAACAACAAAGTTAATACACTTGGTCTGTTCTGGAATTGAAATTTGAATCCCTGCTGCTAAACTTTGATAGAGTTATCATTGATAGAGTTTGTGATAGTTTAGACACCTCATCTTTAATAGTAACCTCCCAAAAAAGCAGCATTCCCCAAAATTTAAGTGTAAGATGTACAATAACAACACAGAAGCCAAAGCTTTTTTAATCTGATCATGTAAAAGCTCAGTTTTCCCAACAGAACTTGCTTATGGCCAAACAAAAATAATGAGTGGAAGAAAGGAAAAAGCAGCTGAGGATGAAAAACAGAAACCCAGGATGGGAAAAAAAATAAAGACCATTTCATACTTTAAGTATACCAGATCTCCAGATATTAAAAAGTTGGACACATTTAGAGATTTCAGTATCAGAATATAGGGCAAACAAGCAGCGACTTTTAAAGTGTGAGTTTCACAAATTACTTGCTGAATGCAGGAAAAGAAGAATTAATGGAGCTAAAAGCTGAAGTCTTGTTGCTGTTCTTTACTTCTGCCCATGGAAAGGAATGAAGGGAATTCACTGGACTGGAGGAAGCTTAAAGTCAGGAGTTTGAGGTGCTCACTGAAGCTCCTTTTAGARTAACCTTGAGAGAGAAAATRAGAATTATTCTTATGTATTCCATTRAATAATGCACATTAAAATGTGGTTCTAGAACAATCTATCCCTCTCCTCCCTGCAGAGGACACGAGCTTTGTTTGCTGAGGGTCACTGTTAACACAAAGGTGCCTTTGGAAATGGACTGAGCCCCAAGTTGAGCTGAGCTGTCCCTGTGTCTCTGTGCTTGCAGGATCTCTTAGCAGTTGGTTACAGAGAGTTTGTTTCTCAGGATCAGAAGAAAGGCCTGGCTTGCTGCTGGTCACTGAAGAACCCCATGGTAACGAGCCTCTTTGTTTGCTTTTGCTGCAATGTGCTTTTCTCTGCACAATTTCTGCTTTGTTTCCCTTTTAACTACAATTATCTAACTTCTACACAACGCTGTCAGAAAGAGAGGAAATTTCACAGCAACATTCACACCTCTGCAGGCCCATCTGAAAACAGATCCTTTAAAAAAAAGCCATTAAAAAAAATTTGGAAATCTCAGTTGTAAAGTGTCCCAGTAAAAATCTCTGATTGCCATAAATTATACAAGTTCCCTTTGATTTCTTCTACAAATTTCATTTGGCCAAAACTGTATCAGACTAATTTAAMCCAGGCAGAGTCAAATCTTTGTTGCATCTTTACCACATCAAATACTCTCATGATTCCCTGCTGTTACCATAAACATTTTTAGGTATTTGGTTTGGAATAGCCTCTCCTAACTCATTTTCCAGCATCATGTTTCTGCACAATCTCTRTATTTTTCCTAATTTTATCAGTTMCATAAAGARATACATGGRGCCAGTCARAACWGAGAATCATTTCTAATCACYGTGGCYACCATCACTGGAGTTTTCCAGCASTAATTCAGTGCCCAGTGTTGAGAAGAGAGAKGTGARTTAATAATGAATGCTGTGTTTGTCTCCTGRGCAGTGGCCYGAGCGCATTTTCCACTGTGARCACGGTGTCACCGCTGTGGATTTCTCCCTGGGCAGCCCCCACCTCTTGGCAGTTGGGATGGCCAATGGATGTGTGGCTGTCTACGATGTCCGGAGCCGCGATGACACCGCTCTGCTGGACAGCAGGTCAGGCTCTGAGCCCCCATCCCTCCCACCTTGGGCTCCTCTGAGCAAATAAACCTTGGGAAAGGGCAGTGAAGGAGTGCTGTTCCCTCACCTTTACAGGAATTGCAGCAAGTTAYCCCCACCTATCATTTGTTCTCCATGTCCTAAGTATGACAATTCAGTCCTGGATAATAAATCCTTATGGGAGACCAGTGGTAGCTTTTGGGGCTTTCTCTCTGATCCCACTTGCCAAAAATAGGGAGAACATCAAAACAGGTGAGGGRTGGGCAGGAATTAAAAAGAAAATGAGAGAGGGGATGGGAGGGTGATGAGGGAAATGCTTGCCCTAAGGCAGCTCCAGGTTTCAGGCACTCTCCTACAAGGTGCCCATAGATCTCATGGTGTGGGTGTCACTGAAAGGCAGCAGCACACAAACAGTGCCCTRAAACTAAATACCAAACATGTTTAATAAAAGAAACATTTTCCTGGAGAAAACAACTAATGTTCAGACCATTTTTAAAAGAAAAGCCAAACATTTCTGTCATAAGGCTTGATGCTCATTACAAAGTGGAAGCTTAATTATTTTTCAAATCTATTGCCTTGTCTTTGCTCATACACGATTTACCATATGCATTTGTTTGTCCCAGTGCATCCTTAAATAAACACACAGGTTCTGTGTGGCAGCTGAGGTGGGTGGAACAGGACAGAGGTGCAACAGGAGGTGACAAAAAAGAGAAGCTGATTTGCATCTCAGCAGATGGGCGAATGACAGAGTGGCTCATACAGCAACGGCTGGATTGCTCAGGTGAGCACCTGAAACTGCTCCTTGTGATTTCAACTGACATTCCTTACACCAGTTATCCCACAGAACAGAAAGAGCTGCTGGGCATCCCAAAGCAGCACGAGTTCCTCACACCCATTTGACAAACCCTCCTGCTCTTTGTACAGATCTGATGAAAATCAAGCGAAGAGAAAGTACAAAGAAAAAGCTGCCAGGTGAGAGAGAAAGGAAAAGTGAAGCTCCCATTTCTCAACAGGCAGCTGGAATGTGCTTCGACTTCCATCCAGAGGTAGGCYCAGAAAACCCATCCTGGCTGAGTTTTAGCCACAAAAATTCTGCAGCAGAGGTGGGATGCTCAGCTGGAGCTGCCTTAATGGGAACTCGCCAGGGACTTGGCACTGGTATTTAAAGCATATTAATTTTGAAGCAAATTACTTCTTAACTAGTAAATTTTCCCCAAATGGGTGAAATAGTAAAACAAGCCCTGTCCTCCCAGCATGTTATTCACATTTCCTTGGGCAGGTCCCAGGGCAGTTCYCTCTGCGTGTTGGCCAAGGCTGGGAGAGTTTGTTCAACATCTCCAGSTCTCAGCTGTGCTTCTCTTCATCCAGCTGAATACTTCCTCCACAGAGCACTTGAAGAATTCATGCATTTTCCACATGGATGGCTGAAAATCCAGGATTTTCCAGAGTCAAGAGCCCCAGAATAAGATGAGCACTGTTGGAGAACACACCCAGCAAATGTGCAACGTTGTGGCCTCACTTTTAACTCAGCACTTACAGAAGCTCCTCCTTAGCTCTGTCAAATTTGGATGATTTCTGCATCAGTGATAAAATCATCCAACCTGGGCTACTTCTCCTTTTCTTTCAGGATCCTAGTATTTATCTTGTTGGAACAGAAGAGGGCCACATCTACTGCTGCTCTTGCTCAGGCAAGGAGCAGATTCTGGGGACATACAGAGGCCACAAGGTGAGTGATCCACTGTAAACAAGGACAGCGGGAGCTGTTCAATTAAAATCAAAAATTTAATAATTTTTTTTTGCTTACATTTAGTAAACATAACATCTGCAACAATCTGAATCTTATTCTTTTATATTAGGAATAATTCCTATAGCATAAAGCATCACTGTCTTACAGGATTACTTATTACACTAAGGATTTCCCCAAGTAATTTCTTAAAACTATGAACTGGTTTAAAGCTTTAGTCCTGGTTTTATTTTAAGACAGCAATCARCAATCTGATTTTCCTGTACAGTTAAAGAGTGACCTCTGGGACAAAGGCTGGGGAGCTCTGGAATGGATTCTGTAGCTCTACAGCAACACCAAGTTCTGTTTGATTTCTCCCCAAACAGGGTCCTGTGTACAAAGTTGCCTGGAATCCCTCCAGCACAGACATGTTCCTCAGCTGCTCTGCTGACTGGAACATTCTTTTATGGCACCGAGATTCCCACACCCCCCTTGTGACCTTCACCACTGCCACAGATTCTGTTCATGACATCAAGTGGGCCCCAAAATCAGCCTTCATCTACGCAGCAGTCCATGAAAGCAGGGTGGAGATTTGGGATCTGAGTGCCAGCATGTGAGTAATGCCTTTTCTCCAGGATGATTCTGAAATTGAATTGTCACACGTTGTTACCTTAGCAGATCATTACAGCTCCACATTTTGCCCAAACTGTTGCATTTTGAAATACTCATCGTGTAAAAGCACATGAGATACCAGAGATCTGGGCTTAAAGAAGGAGCTGGAAGCCTCCTGGAGCTGATAAAGTATAAACCTGCTCTTTTCCTGCAGAAATTATGGCATTGTTARAAGGGAAAATAACAAAACTGAGCTACTTTGATAAAGATTGGATGGTCTGAAGTTGAGATGAGTCAATTACCTATGGCTTTGTCCAGCTGATTTGGATTTTGTATCACTGACAGTGTGAAGCCCTGGTGGATCCAGAGCCCTGCCACATCCAGCAAATTATTCATCCAATAAAAATATTAACCACCACCCTCCAGATTAGGACAGATTTTAGATAACCAGGATACCACAGTAAACAGCAGCTGGMATTTTTGTTCTGGCAGAGCCCAAACCAAACACTGCCTCACTTCCCAATGTTTGAGATAATCTAGCACACAGCAAGTGCAATGTGCAGCTTTTCAGCTGGAAATGCATGGTACCCATGAATTGTTGGCTTGCAGCTTCAACCCCGTGCTCTCCTGTGCTACCTGCTCYGAAGGGAATCTCACCTCTGTGCTCTTTGCCAAAAATGCTGAGTGCCTGCTGCTGGGGGACAGCTCTGGGGACGTCGGAGTGTGGCAGCTGCACGACCTGGCTGCTCCCAAAACCAAGGTATGGCTGTGGCAGAGGGCCAGGGGTGCTCTGGGCCTCATTCCTCAGGAAGGGAATTCTGAGAAACAGCCAGCTAGGGAATATTGGAACAGTGGGATCACAATTCCAGTTAAAACTGAGATGGTTCCTGCTCTCCTGCTGCCACACCACTGGGAATTAATTTCCTTTATAGACAAGATAAATGCTTGCATGCTGTCAAGTATGACAGCACAAATGCAACCCAGCCTGGCCTCCAAGAAGTGCTGTTTTCCAGGAGATGTAGCCACAGAAATCAGCTTGGAATTAGCAGAATTCCAAGGAAGAACCAGCTCTTTCTCCTCTTATTTTCCAGGTTGGTTCCTTGCGAGACGTTGTTGCTCCTGCTAGAGCTGTGTAACAGCAGCTGATGTCCCTTCTCCACTGGAAAGCAGCAGGAGAGACTTGCAGTAGTATGAACACAAACTGGTTATCCTTTTTTGAATCATTAAAGTTTCTTTTTGAAGCCATACTGTTTAGGAACTTCTTCCAAATACCCCAAATTTCCCGCTGGGAGTCCCCTCATTGCACCATCAGTGTTCATACATGGATGGCCTTCTCTGGAATATTCTCTTTAGGCCTTTATCCCCTTATTTTCCCCCCTCAGGGTCTTGTCTCCTTGGGTTGGAAGCAGGCAGTGTTTGGCTGTCTAAGCTTGTTTTTTTGAGGGGCAGAACAGAAGAAAAGAACAAAACACCCACCTGGAAGATTTTCAGGAACTTCCTGCCCACAGGAAACAGGGAGCATCTCCAGAGGAGTGATGAAGCACAAGTTATAGCCCTGCAGCCCAATGAGCACAATATGTATGGAAATGTGCATTTTATAGATGTAGAACATCCAGCCTCTCTCATTATCCTGACAATAAACCCCAACATTCAAACACAGCACTGAATTAARGATCATTTGTGAGGCATTAACAGCCACTTCCTTCTGCGTGCTGCACGTCTGGCAGGGAACATGCAAACTTCCCCCTGACATAAAATTCATCTTGCTGCATTTCAAAGAAAGACACTCATTARGGTGAATCATTTGTTGACCATTATTACAATTCTGACCAAAACACACCCCATATTTTCCATTCATGCCCATGAYTGTTTGCTTACTGGCTAAAAACAAGCTTTCTGTCAAGGCTGTAATGCAGTGAAAACTAATTAACTGTAACATTATGGTGCTGGARAGTCCTGGTGGTGCCAGGAAAGGCTCAATATCTCCAAAGTTTCTCATGTATGTTGTCCTTAAACGTGGAATTTCTGACCACATAATTAACAAATTTCCTCCTTAAGGCATTTTATTGCAAGGATTTGTTATAGAAACTTAAAGAGACTGACGCCAACAACGTCAGGAAGCAGTAACTTGTAACCAACCTCTGCTCCCAGAGCAGGTAACTCAGCTCTGAGTGCTGCAGGATCAGATCCTGTCACTGGACACACTGGGAATCCTGGCTGGGATACCCATGTGCCACCAAACCCGCTTTGGACTGAATTTTCTCAGCAGTGCCTGGCACTGGCAGGGATTTCCCCCCAGTCATCCACAGGCAGCAGTGAACAAGGTGGGGCAGTGAAGAGGTGCACGATGCAGACACCATGGGAAGGAGCTCATTCCATTTTCCTCTGGGATCACCAACACAAAAGGACTCCAGTCAGGACTGGGCATCAGGCTGTGCAACACACCAGTGTGAGGAACACAGACACCAAATCCATTAAGCACAAATCATGTCATAAACACCCTTTWGTTCCTGCAGAACACACATTAACTGCATCCACCCAAGCCCATACCCCATAAACGTGTTACACCTCATGTGTTCCTAGTAAAGCAGCTACACTGACTTTGAAAGTCCTTTAACACCTGCCTGAGGTGCCAAAGCACTTCAACCATGTCSAGAAACAAGCAGTTTATTTGGTTTTGGCAAACATTAAGTCACCCTCCAAGTGAGCTGTTACCCAGTGGAGTGGACGGATTGTCGGTATAAATGGGAATGTTCCAGCAGAATTCCCCACTCCATCCTTTCTGCTGGGAAGCACCACATTGGCAGCATGAGGAGCACAGCAGTGATTCTGGCCTGTCTGGTTCTCCTGCTCCTGGCACAGGAAGGAAAAGGGGAAGGGAACACGGTGAGGCTCTGCGGGAGAGACTTCATCAGGGCCGTGGTGTTCACGTGCGGCGGCTCACGCTGGAGGAGGCACCTCACTGCTTACCATGGCCTGGGTGGTGAGTACTGATTGAAGAACAGGGGCTCTTCCTGCCTGCTGCACCTCATCCCAGGGGATCCAAAGGGATCCGAGGGGATCTGAAAGGACTGGGGAGCAGCACATCCCCTGCTGCCCTCAATCCGTGCAGCTCCAGTGCCCGCAGCGCAGACTGTGCAGAGCTGCAGCTCCTCACCTTCCCTCCCTTCCCAATCCCTGCAGCTTGGCTGGCTCAGCTTCCTGGGCTCTTTCACTAAGGAAAAAATCATTGAGATTTGCCAAGCTCACCTGAGGAACAGGATTCAAGCCAAGGCTACCACTGAAAGTCTCTCTGCCATCACCATTTAAGTGTCAGTGACAAATTTCACTGAAGTCAGTGCAAGTGTCTTACTGTGGTCTTCATTTTCCCCACTAGAAACCAGGAACCTTACTACAACTTAAAAATATTATTAATAAAGCATGTTGAATATTTACTCTGCAATTTATGTACCCTTCAGATGCTTTTGTGTATATTTATACTTATTAGCATGTTTTTGGATAGTCAGAAAATTCAACCATTGCATGCACTGCTAAGAATCTGTACTCYGACAGATGAAAATAAAGAGAGAACAAGAAAATAACTGAGGCAGGTGACAGGAACAGAGGCTTTCTGCACTTCCTACATCTGCATTTTTGGAAAGTTCTCTTGTAGCAGCAGCTTTTAACAAACATAAAAAGCAGTAACACCTGCAACCCCCTCCCCAAAGTCTGCTGAAGAACCCCTTCTTCTAAACTTTACAAACTCCACAAGCAGTGCTCAGCTGTTCTGAGGTGGCTCAGTTACAGCTGAATTGTGAGTACAGTTTCTGGCAATACCCAGAACTTTGAAATCCTGGGGTAGACGATGCCTTAATGCAACACCTGCATTTCAGGAAACCCACAGGTCCAGCTTAGCATGCTGGTCAAGAGCCTCTGACACAGCAAATCCCAGTTTTTCCTGGAGAAGCAAATATATCAGTGTCAGACTCAAGGCAACACAGAACATACAAATCCCTAAACTCCTGGGTTTTACCACGCTGATCTGATTGTTCCTCACACATCTGCTCCGTGTGAGGAGTCAGTGATATTGTGCTCACATTAGAGGGTAACACTCAGCTCCCCGGCTCTAGGACCTTTCTAGTAAAGATAAAAAGCATAAATTACTCATCTTCCCACGACTTTTAACTTGTAGCTTCTCGTTTTTCTGTGACAGAGAATGAAAACCCCCAGCCTTTCCCACACGAGGACGAGGGTGATGCTGACTTCTCATCACACACAGAGCAGGGGCTGGGGATCCACAGCGAAGAACCCCAGGAYGTCAAACCTGAGCAGGACTTGCAAAACAGCAGCAAAGTTTCTGTGCTGAACAAGCGTGAGGCGGCCAAGCTGCTCACCACATCCTGCTGCAACGTGGGCTGCAGCAGGAGAGAGATCAGCTCCCTGTGCTGAAATGCAGCAGCCCAGTGTCACAGCCTCCAGGGATTAAAATAATCACGACATAAACCACATTTCGTTCAGTTGTGTTCTTTAATTCTAGCTTTACCCTTTTAAATGTCACAGTGCACACCAGCAAGTGGCTTCGGGTGCATTTCACAGTGTTTACAGTGGGTTAGAGGCAAACTTTTAGTCATGAGKACATGAAGTATTTCTTTCCAACTAAATACTGTTCTGGTTTCAGCTTGGCACATAAAATGTAATAAAATAAGCAATTTATAATAAGTTTGTTCTCTGACTCAGGAAAATCTAACAGCAGGTTTTAGCTGGGAAACAGGGGTAGCAAAAAGCCTGGTTTTAGAATCAGAGCAAGGCAGCACTSCAAGGTCMSCCAGACCCCATCTCTGCAMCAGGAGAAACCTGGGACTYTCAGCACCAGCTCCAWAACTGGGCASGCAAAACCCATGGATTATTCYCTAATCCAGATACTTCCAGTAATGWTTCCTGAAGGAGAACAGAGAAAACATTACTTACAAGGAATATTCTGAAAACATCTCCCCTACAGGGTAAGTTCTGAAAGCAGCAATCAGGTGCAAAATGTGTCCCAGAGAAAACTCTGGGAAATACCCTTATTCCACTCACCCAACACCTCACATTTCACAGCAGGTGAGAGCATCTTGGTCCTTCACACATGTTCTCAAAACAGAGATGGGAAGAGTTAGGCTGAACCCTCATTTCTCCTGTTRTTAAACTGCACTGCCTCCCTACTCAAAATACACACCGTAGACATTTGCCACAGCAAACAGCGAGGCGTTCTTGTACACATAGGAGGAGAAAGTGTCACTGGTGGGGTCCCAGAGGCACCTGCTCCCGATCTGCAGGCTCTGCTGGCCCAGCTGCCCGATGTGTGTCACCACCACGATCTTGTACCTGGGCACCACCAGCTCTTGGACCCGCGCCTGAACAACCTGCAGAGAAAAACCAGGTTAGTCCATGTGTGTGCAAAGCTAGACTGTTGGGGGAATGGTATTAAAGGGGGAATGGTGTTAAACTGATAGGAGGGGAGGGATGGATGGGATATTGGGCAGGAATTGTTCCCTGTAGGGTGGGCAGCCCTGGCACAGCTGTGGCTGCCCCTGGATCCCTGGCAGTGCCCAAGGCCGGGCTGGACATTGGCGCTGGGAGCACCCTGGGACAGTGGAAGCTGTCCCTGCCATGGCAGGGGTGGCATTGGATGGGATTTAACATCCCTCCCAACCCAAACCAGTCTGCAAATCTATTCACTACCTCATTTATGCCTGCATCCCCCTCTGAGCAACCCTTGGGGCACCTCGACAGCCGCCTCCCGCCTTTACCTTACACTTTATCRCTACTTTGGCGGACGTTTGGGGGCTCCCCCTCCCTGCCACCCCACAGGGGCACGATGACAAATGTCCCGGTGSCGGTCCCACCTCAGCGATGGCTTTGGCCGCCTCCCGGCACGGCCCCGGCTCGTAGCGCTGCTCCCTCAGGGCGCTGCCCAGCACCTCCCTCAGGATGGCGTCCACAGCCGCCGCCGGGAAGCGCCGGGCGGGCCCCGCCAGGCCAGGCTCGGCTTCAGGAGAGCACAGCCGCGCTGAGGGGCTTTGGAAAAGAGAACCAGATCCACCTGCGGCGGGCTCGGGGGGAATTTCACCGCCCTCCATCGCCCTCAGCGGCTGAGGGGAGGCGGTGCCGGAGCAGGGCCCGCCCGCCGCCTTCCCATTCCCCTTCCCCGCCTTCCCCTTCCCCGCCCCGATCCGCTTCCTAACCCCAATTCCCGATCCCCGCCCTTATCCCGCCGCTTTCCCGTTCCCCGGCATTCCCATCCCCTCGGCTTTTTGTAGTTCCCGTTCCCCACAGCTCCCTACAGTGTCCACCCGTCCCCGCGTGTCCCCGCAGCCCTCACGGGTCCCCACGGCTTCCACAGGTCCCTGCGTGTCCCCAAAATTTCCACCCATCCCTACAGCTCCCCACAGCCTCCTCATAACCCCACAGCTTCCACAGGTCCCCATGTGTCCCCAAAACTTTCACAAAGCGTCCCTACAGCTCCTCACAGCCTTTTCATGACCCCACGACTTCCGCAGGTCCCCGTGTGTCCCTACAGTCCCCTCAGGTTCCCGTGATCCCCACATGTCCCTGTTTGTTTTTTGTTGTTTTTTTTTTCCCCCCACAGGTCTCTGTGTCCCTTTACTGTCCCCAGAGGTCCCCATGGCTCCCACACATCCCTACAGCTTCCACACATCCCTACAGTTTCCATACATCCCCATGGCTTCCACAGATCCCTGCGTGTCCCTACAGTTCCCACTGTTTCTCACGGGTCCCCACGGCTTCCACAGGTCCCTGCGTGTCCCCAAAGCTTCCACAAAGCGTCTCTACAGCTCCCCACAGCCTCCTCATGGCCCCACAGCTTTTGTCCCTACAGTCCCCTCAAGCCCCACTGTGTCCCTGCAGTCCCTTCAGGTTCCTGTGACCCCCACATGTCCCCGTTTTTTTTTGGTTTTTTTCCCACAGGTCTCTGTGTCCCTTTACTGTCCCCAGAGGTCCCCAAGGCTCCACACATCCCTACAGCTCCCACAGATCCCTACAGCTTCCACAGATCCCTACAGTTTCCATACATCCCYATGGTTTCCACAGGTCCCTGTGTGTCCCCAAAGCTTCTACACATCCCTACAGCTCCCCAGAGCTTCCTCATGGCCCCAAGGTTTTCGTCCCTACAGTCCCCTCAAGCCCCGCTGTGTCCCTGCARTCCCCTCAGGTTCCTRTGACCCCCACATGTCCCCGTTTTTTGTTTTTTTCCACGGGTCTCTGTGTCCCTTTACTGTCCCCAGAAGTCCCCATGGCTTCTACAGGTCCCTGCGTTGTCCCTACAGTTCCCACTGTTTCCCACAGGTCCCCACAGCTTCCCCAGGTCCCTGCATGGTCCCATAAATTCCACATATTCCCACATATTCCCACATATTCCCAGAGCCTGCCCAGCTCCCCACATATCTCCACACATCCCCACAGCTCCTTTATATCCTCAAGGCCTCGTGAGGACCCCAAAGTCCCCACCCTGTGGGTCTCATGGGACACTCCTGCTGCAATGATAGTTTTTGGGACATAAACCCTTTTTCAGGGGGTAAAGATCCCTTTTTGGGGTCACCCTTCAACACCTCTGCCCGYTCCTCTGGGTTCTCTTGCACATAGAAGCAAAACTCAGTAAAAAAAAAAGAAATGTTTTACATTTTTTTGTTTATTTTCAAGGAAAAAAAATAATAATCACATTTAAATTGCAACTCAGTTGGGTACTTCGTGTGGTTCTTATGTATAGRATGGATAAACTTTGTTCTGACGTGGGGATTTCTCGGTCACGACGTTCTGCATGGTCAATAATTGCATATTTGAGAGTCGGTGAAATGGGTGGCGGGGAGGATGGAGGAGAGCCATTTATAAAAAACAGTATTTACAAAAATGATATCCACATAGTCGTACTCTAATCTATAAGGCAAGTAACATTTAAAATATGTTGTTTCATGATTATCTTCGACGAGTCAATACAACACATTCATATTACCAGTGGTCAAATACAAAGCTTCGCTGCAGGAGTCCCTGTGCAACAAACCTGTACGTCTTTTAGAGGCTTTTTTTTTTTAATATTTTTCTCTGAGAACAGTAGGAAAGCAGCAAAGTTTTCATCACAGACTAAGCAGTACCTAGGCCATCGTAGACTAAAGGTTTCATATATCTCATTGCACGTTCAGGCAGGAAAGGCCAGCCATTCATTAACTTATTTAACTTAAATCTTAAAAATAGAATTTTTTTTTTAGCTGTGTATCTTCATCCACAAATATTTATAAACATTTTATACATGAGGGACTTTGTAAAATGGCCCGGGGTGATACCTGGGCRTTTCTGATTTGCTGCTGGGGTGTCACAGTGGGGTTGTGCCAAGTCCTGGGCTCTCCTGGCAGATCCCAGCTCAGTTCCTGGCTCAGACCATGACACATCTCCGTGTGTTTTATGTCACCTGAGCATCCAGAGGATTTCATCAACCTTGCAACACTTGGGAGTGAAAAACCCCTTTTTGCATCAGCACATCCACGGTGATTCCTGCTGTCCCACAAATTTCTGACAGAGGAAGGAGATATCCCAAACCCCTCGCCAGGATCTATGTGTTCCATCCATCCACAACACTTTGGAGAGCACCAGCACCGTTAATTTATGGTTCCAAGGACCATTTCCAGCAGCACCATCCCTTCTCAAGGGACAGGGGAAGCCAGGCAGGAGCAGGGGSTATTCCTGAAAATCTTTTCCTAGTCTTGCAGCAAAATAGGAATTCAAATCCCGACTGAAATAATCCTGATTATCATAAAACATCCCCAGCTCTATATGGATTAATTTCCTTGGGAAATTGTGAGGAAAAGAAGAACAGAAGAATTCTAGCTATGAAATGAAGTCTTTGAGACAGAAATTTCTTACCAGGAAAGGGTGACAAGATGATATTACATATTTTGGTCATGACAAGCTTAACAATTAAGTGTTTTAACCAAGATATTTCCACAGAAAAGCAACAAAAGGATAGGGAAAAAATGTTTGACTCTCTCTCAGGTAATTTAAAAAATCTGTCACCTTTTCAGTGCACTCCAGCCATTTAAAAATTCCTCTGCTGGGAGAAAGGGAGGTGGTGGCTCTTTGTGGGATGMTCCCGCTGGAGGAATTTTGGGGACCAGCACGGGAAGGGTGSMRGGGGGGCTGCACCYTTTTTCCCCATCCCCATCCTTCCTATCTGCCTGAAAAGGATGGCATTCTCACAGAAACTTCCAGGCTTTTCCCACCTATGTTTTTAAAAATTATAGCTAAAGCCCAAAAAGGCAGACTGAAGGCAAATGAATTTAACTGAAATACTGAATGAATAAGAAGCTTTAGAGAGGGCAGTGATATTTAAGAATAAGTACAGACATCAAATGAAAAGCTCATTATTTGGTGCTGTTTCCTACTATTGAGAGATTTCCTAGTTATTAAGAAATAATTGTGAAAGTAGAAAACTGCTCTGAAATGACTCCTGTGAGGAGCACCAYGAGCTGGCTGAGAACTGTGACTGTTTGCAACAAACAGCAGAAAGAGTGCGAAAAAATCCCTTCCTCCCCCTACCATGGGAAATTCTGAGTCTGAAGGTGAAAACCCCTCCTGCCCTGTCAGTGTGACCTTGACCCTGCAGGTGTGTGACTCTGCTGAATTCCCAGGGGGAAAATTCCTTTGGGAGAGGWTGCTGACAAGGGGGAATGGTWTTAAAATGATAGGAGGGGAGGGATRGATGGGATTTTGGGMAGGAATTGTTCCCTGGGAGGGTGGGCAGSCCCTGGATCCCTGGCAGTGCCCAAGACCAGGCTGGATGTTGGRGTTTGGAGCACCCTGGGACAGTGGGAGRTGTCCCTRCCGTGGCAAAGGTGGCACTGGGTGATTTTGAAGGKCCCTYCCAACCCAAAACAGTCTGGGATCTGTATCAAATGCACTTCCGACAGAACTGAGTCACTGCAGTTTCACCTCCCTGCTGCCWCAGCTGCTCTCTGCTCATGGGCAGGCAGCACCAAACAGAAAATTCCCTGAAAACACACAGATTTTCCTGCCTAAAAGCTGGGGTGAAGCCTGCAGAGCTTGAATGCCCTGAACACTACAAGGCCCTCTCTTGAGCCAGGCGCTCTCCCCAAACAAACTCCCAACAAAACCAACTTCCCTGGGAAACTCTGGGAAAATGCTGTGCCAAAAACGGGCAAGAGCTGTAGGGAAAAACCTGTCCCAAATCGCTGCTTGTGGTCCCAGTGTCACAGGGTTGGTGTCACAGATTTGGTGTCACAGGATTGGTGTCACAGATTTGGTGTCACAGGTTTGGTGTCACAGGTTTGGTGTCACAGATTTGGTGTCACCTGCCCGTGGCTGGAGCAGGGACTCTGTCCCTGTGGAGATGACAATGCTGGCACATTCCCCATGGCCCTGCTGTCCAGCTTGTCCCAGAAATGGGACACAGTGTCCCAGACTGTTCCCATCCCTCTACCCAGGCCGTGAGAGCTGCATCCCAAAATAGTGACCTCTGTTTTGTTTGACAGCTCAGGTAGGATGAGCTTGGGAGCTTTGGGTTATGGGTTTTTCTGTCCTGAAAGCACTCAAAAACCCAATGCTAATGTAAACACCTTGTCTTTCCAATGCAATATAAAGTAAATCTCTATGATCTGGTCATATTTACATTATAAAACTGCTCTTTGCAGGCCTATGCCACAGATCCCTTTTGGAAGGATGGGTTTGGAGCAACTGTACACATCAAGAAACCGAGTTGTAGGGTTTGCTCTAGATTTCTGTGTCAGAAAGGAGTGGGTTACAATTTTATAGAAATTTCCAGTTCAGGGGAGAATCCTTACTGGAGTGGAACCCAGAAACACTGGGGAGTGCACAAATCCCCGAATCTGCCGAGGAGGGAGCTGTGCTTTCCTTTCCTGCTGCTGCCTTTTGTGCACACACACCCCCTCACACCTCAAACATCCYCACATTCCCTTCTTTGCTTTTAAGAAGGGCACAGATCTGTTTTTCTGCATCCAACTGCTCCGTGAGCGAGCACTTCCCAAMATGCCCAGGCTGTTTTCCACCACAATGCACAACCCCAATCCTGGCAACATTTTGACCATAAAATCAGCGCTTTTTGTCCTTTTACACATTCCCAAAGTCCCAGCATCTCCATCAGCGGATGCTCCTGTGCTTCTCTGTGTTTAATTTCACAAAGATTCCTTCTTTTTGGTGACTCTAATATTGCTGAATTCTCCCATTTAACGAGCTCATCCTCACAGATAATGCCACCAACACTGTCACCATGCTGCCAGGAGCAGGATGGGAATGAGCAGCACTCAGTGGGACAGTAGCTCTCAGGGAAAACACAGAGGGACAATATTTTGTCCTCCAGCCTCCAGTTGAGCATTTCCATGTGTTTTCCCATCTTTACAGGACAGCTGCTCCCAAGCTGGGCGAGCTGGGGTCCCCTCTGGGCTGCTCCTGCTCCCTGGGAATTGCTTCCCAGCGTTTTTCCACACCCATTTCCYTGCCTGAGCTAAAACAGAGAGGCAGGTGGGGCTGCAATTCTTTAAAGCATTTTCTAAACCCGTAGACCTTTCAAAAAYGAGGGGGGAAAGGCAGAAAAAGCGAGTGAAGCAACRTAAAAATGCAACAGAACATCAGAGSTGGCTYRGAAAATGCATCCTTCAAYGCAGCAGTGGYRTTCTGTGAGCTCAGAGTTACCACYCAGCCTTTTTGCTGCTCCTTTCCTCAGCTGGATCCCTGAAAAATCCACAGCCTYGGGCCAGGGAAGCGCTGCTGGATTCCACCAAGGAATCTGCAGCTGAAAGAAAACACAGGGCTGGAAATTTGGAAAAATACTCCTTGCAGAAGTGAGATTTTTTTTTTTTTTTCCCCTGGGAGATTGTCCTAGGAACCTCCACTTTTCCAACAATATTTTTCTGGAGTTAAACCATCTAAACCTGAAGGTCGAGCTTTTTATTGATCGCTGCGAGACGTACTGAGGACTGAGGGAAAATGGAATCAGCCTGTGGGTTCTCCTGAACTCTCTTTTGATGAGGCACCCCCTTCGTAACAGCTACCGGTATCGTATTTAAATTGAATATATTGACAAAATGTAATCTACCTCTGTAAGCATTGTGCCATTCAACAGTACTACTATTAGATTTATATACCACAGTTTGAATTACATCCATTTCATGAATGGTAAAATGCTAAAACTCAAGTGTCTAACTGCCAAAATACAGCCTTACTGGAATGAGTACAATTTACAAATACAATAATTACATTTTAAAACCATTAACAATGTTACATCTAGAAGTAAATACTGGAGGACTGGTCAAGACGGTGTTTTCCAAGGAAAAAAAAATGCTGAAAGTTGTCGACACTTCCAACAGAAATGTCCCGAGTGCAGGATTTAGTTCATTTTCCTTAAACYGTAATTAAAACCCGTTCCACGCACAGCAGTCCTTGGATATTTTCCATAGTATTTTCCATAGACTCGCATAAGCTTCCATCAGTTATCCGCCAAATATTTACCTGGAAACGGGATCAGAAATCAGCTGGGGGCAGGGACGGGCTGCCCACTCCAACTGCACCCACATCCACAGCACGCGGGAAAATCCTCAGCTTTCTCCAAAGAAAATACAAGGAAAAATCCTCGTATTTCTCTGCAGCAACGGGGGAAAAGCTTTTCCTGGAGATTCCCTGGAGATGCCAGCCCTTGCCTTTCATGCAGGAGTAGGAATGAGCCATGAAATCCAAAGCTCTAAGAGGCAGCGGGATTTATTTCATGCGGGGGAGCTGCTGTCCCTCTGTCCCCACCCAGCATTCCAACACCCGACATTCCTGAAATCCCAGAAAAAAACGAGGGGACCAAACAACCACGGGAGAGGCACCCACCTGCTGCAAACCTCTTCTTGATGAGGGAGAAGCGGTAGCCAGCRCCCACCAGCTCGATGTCACAGCTGGACAAGGTGCTGCCCTCGCTGGTGAACTGCACGGCCAGCGGGGCCGGCGAGCTCGGCCCTTCGGCCAGCTGGAACCGGGCCAGCAGCGAGCCCACGCCTGCAAGGGAAACCCCAAAAATGAGCACCCAGTGGGATACCCATAATGGAAACCCCAAAAAGGGCCCTGTGAGCACCTAGCAGGATACCCACAATGGAAACCCCAAAAAGGGCCCTGTGAGCACCCAGTGAGATACCTACAATGGTAACCCCAAAAAGGGCCCTGTGAGCACCCAGTGAGATACCTACAATGGTAACCCCAAAAAGGGCCCTGTGAGCACCTAGCGGGATACCCATAATGGAAACCCCAAAAAGGGCCCTGTGAGCACCTAGCGGGATACCCATAATGGAAACCCCAAAAAGAGCCCTGTGAGCATGGAGCACACAGCACCCAGCGGGATACCCACAGTGGAAACCCCAGAAAGGGCCTGTGAGCACCCAGTGGGATACCCAAAATGGAAACCCTAAAGAGGGCCCTGTGAGCACCCAGTGGGATACCCACAATGGAAACCCCAAAAAGGGCGCTGTGAGCACCCAGTGGGATACCCACAGTGGAAACCCCAAAAAGGGCCCTGTGAGCACCCAGTGGGATACCCACAGTGGAAACCCCAAAAAGTGCCCTGTGAGCACCTAGTGGGATGCCCACAATGGAAACCCCAAAGAGGGCTCTGTGAGCACCCAGCAGGATACCAACAATGGAAACCCCAAAAAG